CCTCAACTTCCCCTGAAGGGGGTCACACATTCGGACCCCTCAGCTCCTCAGCTTCTCCGCCACAGCACTTTTCTGTGTCTACTTACTTGGGGAGGCTCACAGCAGGACAGGCACCACACTGTCGCATTGTTCTAGGGACTCTGAAAATAAAGCTGTTCACTCAAGCCTCGGGTTTCCTCTGGGGACCTTGCAGCTGGGCCTTTGCTCCTGTCTCTCCAACTCCCTGAGTAGAGCAGTGCCCAGATGCTTTTCTGGTTAGATATGCAAGCGGAAATGCATTGTTTTTTTGGTCAGAGGGATGAAAAAGGCAGCAGTTTGGAGTCTCTGCCTGGATTTCTGTTTATTTTTTGGTGCTGGGGCGGGGGCGCGGAGGGGGGGCAGAGGCAGGGCAATTGGTCTTGAGCAGGGGCTGCAAGGCTTCCCCAGCAGGCCGGTGTGGTCAGTGCAGCTCTGCCTCTGGGATCGTGCAGGAGATTTGGCCCCGCACCTCAGACACCCGTGTCCCTGGACCTCCAACCACAGCTGGAGGATTTGTTCCTTTCCCAGGAAGCCTGAGAACAAAGAGAATCTGCACAATTTCCAGAAGTAACTGAATAGGAAACATTTTCCCCTCAATAAGGAGAGTATTTTAAATCTGTGCTCCCATTTTTCAATTAGCTTTATCTTCGCCTACACCCAAGCAGCTCATTTCTAAGGATGTCTGTGAATAGCAGATACTTAGGCAGAGTGGGGAGTGTTTAGTCTGGATACCAGGAAGATACATTTCATACAATGAAATACATCATACAAGCAAATGCATAGATGCGGGGAGGGCACAGCGAATGTAAGCCCCACGTAGTGAAGACCCTGCAACTAAGGAAAGAAGTCGATGCTGTAGGAATTCTCCTACACTGTTTTATAGTGATTTGGGAATAATGTAGAAGTCCCATAACTTTTGGCTAACCCTGCAGTCAAGATATTTTTTTATTTTGTTTTGTTTTAACTTACTCTTGCTGCTAATATTTTGAGCAAAACTATGGGCATTCAAGCTGGTTCTGAGTTTCAGGAATTGGTCTATACATGAGATGAGTGGTTTGACTCTCAAAGTGCCCTTCATGGCTACTTCACTGGACATGGGTGGCAGGTAGCCATGTGTCCCAGTGGACGTCCCAACATTCTTCACTTCTCAGCATAGATGGGGCCTGTGCCCCTCCCCCATGTTGCTTTCTGGCCCACTTCCCTGCCTCCTTATGTTATCCCATTTTTGTCCATAGGTGCTAACCTGGTGTCCCTCAACACTGTGAGCTGCACACATTACCACTTTCCCTCTCCAGGTAGTGGAATTTCTGGGTGGGCCTGTGGGTCTCCTCCCTCCTGGACCTTGTTCTGAACGGAGGAGCTGATTCAAATCTAATTTCCAGAAGAGACTTGAAAGTAGATCAAGGGATGCCTGGGTGGCTCAGTTGGTTAAGGCTCTGACTCTTGATTTCGGTGCAGGTCATGATCTTAGGATTATGAGAGCCCTGCACTGGGCTCTGTGCTCAGTGTGGAGCCTGGTTGAGATTCTCTCTCCCTCTCACTCTGTCCCTTTCACTCATGCTCTCTCTCTCTTTCTAAAATAAATAACTCTTAAAAAAAAAAAAAAGAAAGTAGTTGGAATTGGCAATTGGCATCAGCTCCTAATCTTCTATTTTTTTTGGAATAATATTTTCAGTAAGGCTAATTTTAGTTCAAATATCCATTTTATAAAATACGATTTTCAAATACTAGTCATATATCTCTATCCCCCATTTTTCTATACCCCATGACTTAAGTTACACAATTTCCGGTTACTTGGTGTTTTACAGAAATTTACTCCCTATGTCACATGGGGCTCCACTATGCTTTGCTTAACAATTTGTTTTTTTCTCTTTAACATTTCTGAATATTCTCTCCTTTAAAGATTTGTTACTTTTGGAAAAGCAGCGACTTTCAAAAGCTCAAGCAGGAAGAGCAAAAGCCATCATAGATTGGGTTTAACAAAATCCTCTTGACTGAAATTGCCTGTATATGAAAGAAGCAACCACTGTTCACTCCTCTTGATTTGCTCTTACATGTTCCCAGAGAACCACTACTGCTGAGAGTGCCCATGGCTTTTCCATCCAGGAGGCACTGCTGAATTGCCCATAAATTCTAAGCATTTTTACTCCCTTTTAAGAGTCTCAGGCATCTCTGTCTTTCCATGACTCTTCTGTTTACTCTCCTGCTTTCTTCCCTTCTTCCCTTCCTTCCTTCCTGTTTTAATTTTATTCAGTGTGGTTTTTAAAAATCAGGAATAGATGTTGAGTTTTGTTCAGATGCTTTTAGCATTTACAGAAGTAATCATTTCATTTTTCTTCAGGTGTGTTAATAGAATCAATTAATGGATTTCCTTTTATAATGAACAATCCTAGGCTATACCATGTAATATTTTTGTAATAGGATGCTGGATTCTGTTTGCTAATACCTCATTTAGGATCTTTGCAGCATATTCATTAAAAGATATTGGTCTATAATTGTGTGCGTGCATGCATGTGTGGCTATCTTCATCAGGTTTCGATATTAATATTGTACTTTCATTATTAAAATAATTTGGAATTTTCATTTGTTTCTCCTGCGCCCTGGAGAACAAGCTACATAGCATTGGAATTATCTCATCTAGTAGAATTCCCCTGTGAAACCATCTGGACATAATATTTTCTTTTTTTTCTCTCTTTCTTTATTTCTTCCTTGATAATTGTTCTGTTTAAGTTTAATATTTCTACTGAAGTCAATTTTGCTAACATGCATCTTCCTAGGAAATCGTCCATTATATCCAGTTTTCAAACTTATTTTTCATTGAGCTGTGCAAAGTTATTGAATAATTTCTTTCATATCAATCATATTCCCTTCATCCTCGTCAATTCTTATTTTATGTATCTGTGTTGTCTTGATGGATTAATAAATGGTTGCTTTGTTGATTTTCCTCAAAAAAAGCAAAATTTGAGGGAGTTTGGTGGGAAGATGGGTGAAATAGGTGAAGGGGGATTAAGAGTAGACATACCATGATGAGCACCGACTAATGTATAGAATTGTTGAAACACAATATTGTACACCTGAAACTAATAAGATATTTTAATTATATTGGAATTTTACAAAAATAAATTTTTTTTAAAAAGCAAAATTTTAATTTATTTTATCCTTTTTCTGTTTTATGCTTCTGGACTTTCCTTATTTATTTCTTTATGTTTGTTTTGTTACTCTTGTAGCTTTCTATCAGGAATTCAACTCACTTATTTTTGTTGATTTAAAGATATAGAACTGAATTTTTCTGTGATCATTGCTTTAATTGTATCTTAAAATTCTGATACATAGTGTTTTCGCAATTCATTTTTAGAATTTCTGAAATTGATTTGTATGTCTTCCTGTACTCAATAGTTGTTTTAAAGAGAATTCTTGATGGAATTCTTTGTTTTTTATTACCAATTTCTAGTTTTCTAGTTTTATCATCAGAGAATGTTGTTTATATTCTTTCAATTTTGTGGAGGCTTTCTGTGTAGTGTAATTGTTGGTCAATTGTTGTGAATGTTCCACATGAACATGAGAAGAAAGCGTCTTCTCTCTCATTGTGTCCTATAGATCCTCTATATATTTACTTCCTCCCATTTGTACCATCTTCAGCTGAAAGTGTTATGGTATGGTACTCTTCATCTCAGGGTTGTAAATTCAAGCCCCACGTTGGGTGTAGAGATTACTTTAAAAAAATCTTAAAAAAAAGAAAGTAGTGTGCTAACATCTCTTATTATTGGGGTTTCTGTTTTTCCTCGCAATTTCTATCCCTTCCATTATAAAAGGGGTTGACAAACTACAGCCTATAGATCCACTGCTTATTCTTGTAAATAAAGCTGTATTGGAATACAGTAATGCACATTCATTTACATATTGTTTATGGCTGCTTTCCTGCTACAAAAACAGATTTAAGTAGCTGCAACAGAGAGTGTATGGCCTGCAAGCCTGAAATATTTACTATCTTGCTCTTAAAGAAAGTTTGCCAAGCTCTATACTATATGAAGGTACAGGGATGTTCATATTTATTGTATCTCTGATGTGAATTGTGTCCTTTAGCATTATAAAGTATCTTTCTTTGTCATGGCCAGAATTCCACCTTATTTGATGCCAGGCTTATAATTCTTGCTTTCTTTCTCTTTTCCAATTGACTGATATATCTCTTCATTTTTAAGTGTTCTGAATAACTTTGGTTTAGATGTAAAATGGTTTACACTTGTTAGATGTAACAATACTCAATTGTATTGAGTCGGCAATAAAATTTGAAAGTATTTTCATTCTAATAAGCGAGTTAGGCTCCTTTAGAAGTGGATCAATTTGTTAAACTTTTAAGGTAGAAACAAGTTTTGTATACATTATTTGAAGACTCTTGAAGGTCCTCTAGTTTGTATAAACAATGGTAACATTAATAAAAATAGATAAAGATAATTTAGATTTTTGAGTCTTATATTGGAAACTGTTGCTTTTCCCTTGAGTGTATGTGATGACAGTACTACTATTTAGCAGTTTTGTTGTGATCTGAAAACAAACTTGAGAGGAAAATGCAAGAAAATTATTGCTAGTATTGATGGTACTTGTCAGGGAAGTTAAAAAGCAGAGTTCATATCTTGGATAACTAAAAATTAAGCCAAGTAGGAAAATTTACAAAAAGATTAGTTAACTTACTCTTGGATTAATAAATAAGCATTTTCTGCTTATACAGTTTTAGTACAACCCCTTATTGAATCTGCTATTGGCTGAGCCTTATTTTAAGGATCTAATGACACAAAATTGATTTTAAGCAGTGTCTCTCACCTCAGAAAGCCATTGTCTAGGTTGGACCATAAGGGATGTCATTTTCATATATACATTTTTTTCTCAGAACTGGTCATTCTCCTTTCAATTGTTCTGGGGTCTTTGGGATTTCCCCCTCTTTCTTTGGATGGCAACTGAGCTATGTTGTACTTTCTCTCATGCAGGGCAGCCACTGATCACAATGTGGATAATACAACAGAAATACTCAGGGAGTGGTTGAAAAATGTACAGAGATTCTATCACTATGTGGAGTGGAGGCCTATGGATGAACCAGAGTGAGTAGTAAGACAACATTTTGTGAACTCTATCTATCTCACTTCCCTTAACCAGTTTTCTAGCCATTTGGGTGTCTAATCTCGGAGGCACTTACAACTTCTTGGTTATCACTGTATCTAGTAAATTACAAGGATCTGCCATTTCTTCCTTTTTTTTTTTTTCATTTCTTCCTTTGACAGATCTTAGCTCTCTCTTCCTCTTTACTCCTGCAGCTACCAGCGAAGTTCAGGTATTCCTTAGTTTACAAATAAATTGCCACAGTATATATTTTAAAATATTGATATTATTAGTCTTATTTTAAGTATAAGTCTCTTATATTTGGTGGGTCACAGTGAAAAGTTTTCATACTGTTTTATATATGCTGTGCTTCTTTACGTATCTTATTTTTGTAATCATTCCATAGCAGTAATTAAGGAGTTTCTTCATTATTTTATGACTGCATAGTATCCATTATGTGGATGTATCATAATAACAATGAATAGTCAATCCCCTACTGATGGGATTTAGGTTACTTCTTCTTTTAACCATAGCAATTTCTTAATTGCGTCCATATTCAAGGTCATCCTACATACTATACTGTCAAATTAACTTACCTAAAAAACTAAAGACATGGTTTATTTCTCTGTTAAAAGTATTTTGGTGGCTCTCCAATACTCACAGAACAAAGTTCAAATACTTTAGACTTACACTTTTTAAAGATTCCATGAACTTAACACCAACATCTATCCACCTGTATTTCTTGCTTCTTCCCAAAAGAAAACTGTTTTGTCTAGAATGTTCCTTTTACTTTCAACCCCGAGGTGTTACTCATGCTGGTTAATTCTCCAGGAAGGCCCTTTCTGACTTTGTAACCAGTGTTATGCCAAATCCCACCTACTACAGAAACCCATTTCTAATTATTCCAGTTACAAAGATCTACCTTTCTCTCAAAACTTGTATTGCTTATTTCCTTCATCATCCTTTTTGACACAGAAATATCCTTAACTAACTTTGTTAATTAACTGTGTAATTTATGCATTTCTTCTAGGTGATTTTTGGGTTCTTTGGCAGAGGTTACAGTATACAAATACTTCATATTTTCCCCCAGTGCTATATTCTTGGCAGGCACTAAATTAATACTTGTTGGATGAACAAATGAGTGAATGACAACATGAATAAGTGTATTTAAAAATGACTATTGTAAATGTTCCCAAGGCTACTGCAATCTAGTTTTAAAAATTGTAGAAGTAGAATACATTAAATTGCCTGAATTTTTGCCCAGGATAAATCATTTGTTGAAAGCCAAACTCATATAATAATAATAAATGCCATTCCAGAACAGCTCCTTTTTAGTCTCTTTATATAATCATTTCATTATATATGTATATACAGATATATTTCAAATCCTAGCATATGGTCCATATATCAAAACAAAATTTAACAATGAAATTTGAACACTATAAAAGATTTTGAATGCTTTTGTGGAGTTTCTTATAATGGAATTTGGCCTAACTAGAATGGCCAAAAAGACTATATACCTACCTTGCATCCTGGTAATTTTTTCTGTTCCCAGATCTTGAATAAATATATTGTATGTCAAGATCAGTGTGAAAAATATTGGTGAAGGCATTTTGGGGGCAATATATTGAGAAAAACAGGACTTCCCCTGATTTTCATTGAAGCAATAATTGGAAAGACATCTTAGAGAATCCCTATGTAGGACATAGTCTTATTAATCTTATTTATATAATGTTCTCATTGTTTTTGTAATTTTTCATTCTCTAAAGCAAAGGTACTGCTAGCGCAGCTATAAGAACTTGAAATGATGGCCAGATTTGGGCTACTGTGACAGTATCAATACTCATACCAGTTGGAAGCTTTCAGAAGGGTTCTTGAGGGTATGCCAACCTTCTTGCCAATGTGGCCATGTGAGAGTCCTGCCCTGGCTGTTTTGTAGATGTTGATAGAGATTCCAATGACATGCATCTGCTCTACGATCTCACTCTACCTGGGACGGATCAGTGTTTTAGGCTCTGTGGAATCCTCTACTGATACTTGATCAAGTAAATTTAACTTTTGTTTTTTTTTTCTTTGAAACTCAATTTTTTTGCTGCAAAATTTCTAAGTTTATTTGATGGCAGAATATATTAAAAAGTGCCTAGGAACATGAACTTTGGGGTTATGACTGGATTTAAATTCTGACTGTGCACCTTATTAACTGCGTAGCATTACACAAATAAACGACTTACCCACACTACACCAGTTTCCTCATCTGTGAAATGGAGAGAATGTTGGTACTATTCTTGGAAGGACTCCTTGGAGTCTTCTTAGAAGCCACTGAAATATTTCATGTAAGGATTTGTGTGTACAGTAAGCACAAGTTACTTAATCCCTTTTTCTTTATCTACAATATGAGGAAGATGATAACAGTAATAGTACCTACCTCCTAGTGTTGATGGAAGGTAAAATGAGTTACTGCATATAAACATTTGGGACAGAGACTGAAATATATAGGCACTAAATAATTATAAGTTATTATTATTATAATATTATTATTTCTATTACTATTAGCATTATTATTATTTTAGATCTTACCCTGATGAAATTGGACCAAAGCATTGGCCAGGCTCCCGGTTTGCCCATGTGATGAAACTACGGCAGGCAGCCCTTCGAACTGCGAGGGAAAAATGGTCAGACTACATTCTGGTAAAAACAGATGTTTGATTTCTTGACAACTATTATCTAAATGTGTCCAAATCAATTCTCCAAAACCTAGGACTGTGGGAGCTATTAAGACAACCTTTTGTTTAAGAACCAACTCCCCCACTTTTTTCTTTTTAAGTAGGCTCCACACCCAGCATGGAGCCCAACGCAGGGCTTGAACTCACAACCCTGAGATCAAGACCTGAGCTAAGACCAAGAGTCAGAGGCTTAACCAACTGAGTGACCCAGGTGCCCCTCTTCTACTTTTTGATAAAGACACAAGGGAAAACTTGGGGAACTTAATATTGGGGTACCTAAATTTGATCTCTTTCATGCAATAGGCATAAGAAACTCTGAATCCTTTTAGTTCATTGGAATGCTCTGGGGAATATTTCTTCTTCTTCTTCTTCTTCTTCTTCTTCTTCTTCTTCTTCTTCTTCTTCTTTCTTCTTCTTCTAAGATTTACTCACCTCTTTGAGAGATAGAGAGAGGAGGGGCAGAGGGAGAGAATCTTCAAGCAGACTCTTGCTGAGAGCAGAGCCTGATGCTGGGCTCAATCTCACAACCTTGAGATCATGACCTGAGCTGAAACCAAGAGTCAGAGGCTTAACCAACTGAACCACCCAGGCACCCTCCCCTTTTTAAAAGAGATTTATTGGGAAATATTCATAATAACTTTCTGGATATTTTTTTCAGATATAAAAAAAGATTCAAATTAACACCTCCACAACTCCATTCCTTTTTGTTCCTCAGTGATTTGGGGGAAATGTCATTCCTCTTTTTTTTTTAAGAGATAGTGGATTATTACTTACAGTAAGCAGTATATCCACCAGCATGCTTATGGCAGTTCCCTTTCCTTCCACTTCTCACACAGGTGATGTCATGGGTTCATATGGATGCTCTGCATACAGTGGTTTTGTATCACAGCCAAGGAATCCAAAGCTAAGGGAACCCACTGCTTTTATAGAAAGCAGTAAACAGACATGCTCTTTCTGTGGGAAAATATCTTACCTCATCTCTCAAGGTTATCAGCTTCACAAACAGCCCTGAGAAATGGCCCAGTGAAAGAAACAATCCGGGCTTTGGAATCCTGGGCAAAGGAATGGCTTGCTTGGCCAAATCACTTGCTTGGCCTCTTGGTTGCTCCTAATCATGTTGGGTTCTCATAATTTCTCTCTGTGAAGAGATTCCATCACTTTTCTTAGAACTTTGGGAGTGGTCCAGACAAATGCTGGACTTAATGACTAGGGGCCAGGGTTGTCTTCTGTCCTTGTCCTCCAGGAGCCAAACTTAATGGAAAGGAGGACAGCTTCCTAAGCAGCAAGTTGCTACAGTCCCCATTTCCCTTCTGAAAGTTGACAGGGGCTTTTTTCTTAGCAAGTTTATGGAAATCAAGTTCTTCATTCTGTAGCCCCCAAAATCTATTTAATTCTTTTGCTGAGCATTTTCCAGTACAATCCTGGAAATAACACCAATAAAGCAAAAACAATATGATTTCATTAGACTTGTCAATATCTGCTCTTTCACTAAACTCTGATTCCTAAAAGGAATAGTTTTGACCTTTGTCCATCCCCATCTTGTAGACACAACAAAAATCAGCCCAATAGTTTATGACACACACCCCCCTTTTTTTTTTAAAGCCTTTATTTCTTCATGAGAGACACAGAGGGAGGCAGAGACATAGGCAGAGGGAGAGGGAGCCTGATGAGGGACTTGATCCCAGGACCTGGGGATCATGACCTGAACCAAAGGCAGACACTCAACCACTGAGCCACCCAGGCCCCTGACACACACTCTTTCAATACAAATAGTTTCATACAAGGTTTCAGCTTGATGATATTTAACATTGTAAAGCTGTTTAAATGTCATTGAAAAATACAAATGCTGAATCACAAATTTGCGGTAAACAGATTTCATAAGAATGAAAGCTTCTGATTATTTTTGCACACATGGTAAAAAGTTTCCATAACAAGAAACTTATTATTTTATTTTTTTAAGTGTAGAGATCAATGAGATTATTTATTTTATATAGTAGAATCTATTGTTAAATCATCCCTGTATATGAGTCAGCATTAACATGGACTTCTGCTAAGAGCAGGAAAAGTTTCATGAGTTGATATAATGTACTTTCAACAAAAATCTACTTCTAACATTAAAATGATATTGATGGATCTGTTTAGGGCCATTTTGGCATTACTATAGACAACCTAAAAAAGTCTGTTCATTTGTACCTAGTTTGGGCACTCAATGAGTGTTTCTGGATGAATCTTCAAGAGCTCTTGGAAGCTGTTAGTGGTGAATAACCACTCACCTGGGTGTGGGGTGGGTGCTGGTTGAGTGTGTACCCAGTATGGTAGCACCAATTTATTGCTTATGCAGAGCTAAACATGTGGAAGTTAGTCTAAATGTATTTTGTCTGAATGAATGCCATCCAGCTTTAACAAGTTTCAGTAAGGAATATAAATAACTGGTTCCATGTCTCATGAGCGAGTTTCTTTGATACTTCAGAAGTGTTGGGTTAGTCTTGAACCCAGTACAGAAAAGTATTTTTTTTACCTGATTATTATCCTTTTCTTTTTCTAGTTCATAGATGTGGACAACTTCCTGACTAATCCACAGACCCTCAATCTAATGATTGCAGAAAACAAAACCATCGTGGCACCCATGCTGGAGTCTCGGGGCCTGTACTCTAATTTCTGGTGCGGAATCACACCTCAGGCAAGTCTTCTGGCTAATGAATTAAGGCTATGGGGTTTAACAAGGCAGCCATGTATCAACCATAGCACCATTTGCCTTTTTCTTCACTTTTTCCTTTGATACGTGTGTGTCATGGTGTTACAGAAGCAAGCACGTTCAGGAAAGGTGGTAAACTCAGGTTTAATGCATAATCCAATGAGTTCTTTTGTATTAATGAATTAGGAAGAAATTTTTCTAATGAGCTTAGTCTTAGAAGCTTTAACTTAAACATTAGAGCTTATACTTTTTTCCTCTCCGATTCTGAGATTTTTTTTTTAAATAGGATTTTTTGGTTGTTAAAATATAAGAACACTACAGAAAATTTTGGAAATGGAAAACAGTAAAAAAAAAATTAGGTGACTCCCCACCACTCTAACATCATGGATAGCAGCACGTTGTTAATAACTATCTCATCAAGTAGCTATAATGCAATTTACGTAACCATTCTCTTAGTTTGAAATTATTCAAGTTGTTTGCAACTTTTAACTATTATAATGACCATGATTATTAATGTACGTTTTTCTGTATTTAATATTATGTCCTTAGGACAGCTGCTTAGAATTAGAATTACTGAGTTAAAGAATATAAATATTTTGATGACCTTTGATATTGTTGCCAAATTTATTTCCAAAGATATCTAATAATCAGAACTGCTATGGTAACTGGTTTTTACAAAATTCAAGTGAAAGACAAAATTTTAAATTTCCATCATCTCTCTTTTTCATTGTAAAACCTTCGAAGTCCAGAACTCTGTTACAGCGAATGCTTCTGGCTGATTGTATTTTTAATTCTCTATTTAATAAATTAGATAAAGAAATAAATTAAACTGATCAATGTAGTATATATCCATACAGAATAAAGCCACACCAAGGGGCAAAAAATTCAGGTTAAATGTGTTCTCATATGCAAAGGGCTAAATTTTGAGTCCCTCTTTTATATTTAATTTGGTTTTGGATGCAGAATGAGTCTGGTGGTGCGCTGATAAATGTTTAATAACTGGCTTTCTGTTGGGGAAAAGCCCTGATTGGTCGCTCTTGCCAGTTTCGATAGTATAAGTACTCCCACTATGCAAACAACTTAAATGTTGAAGTGAGGGAAAGGTTAAGTAATTGCAGTGTAGCCACTTGGAGATATAATTATTAAAAATATACAAAGCTGCTGCCTGTGGTATTTTAGAATGGTGGTAATTAACATGATTTTTTTAAACAGATTTTAAGCTACCAAAATGTCAACTGGCCTAGAAAATTTCTGAAAATTTAACAAACAGTAGCTCTAGTGCACTGCTGGATGAGCCATTCCTTTTTAGTTATGATTATTTCCTGCAGTTCCAAGAGACTTTGAATGCATGTTATCCACATCTCTCTTAAGGAGACGTTAAGTTCATATTTATAAAAGACATTCAATTCCTTGGGGAGAAAATGTTGTATTAAGTTCATTTAAATTCATACACTCTCAGTTAATAATCTGCAGTGTTCCACATAGTACAACCACTGGAGGGCTGTTTTTAATGAGTTATGCATCAACACCAGGAAAAAAGGGTGGATTACCCTAGTAACTACAGCCTCTAGGTTTTTATTATCTCCTTATTTGCTTTAATCATTAAAAGCAAACAGGAGAAAAGTGCTCACTTATTTTGCACAGTGAAATAGAGAGCAACTTAGGGGCAATTCTAGTTTTTCTCTATCTTTTTTTTGGCTTTCTACCATCCTCAGTCAGGCTTCTGCTAGCTAGTGCAGGAACAGAAACAGCCAAAGACTTCATAGGCTAAAGACAGGCCCTGGTTTCCAGAGACTTCAAACACATCCAAAACAAAATGACCATGGTGTTGTCTGGCCAAGAACAGGAATTACTGCCAAATCATTCATTTTTTTTTTTTTTTTTGTCAAGAAAAGACACATCTGTCACCTATGCTTGTCTGCAGGAGGCATATTCATCCTCTCTCTCTTTCTTTTTCTCCCTTATTTTCTCTGCTTCCTTCCACTCACCCTGAGGATATTCAATGATTCATTGTCATGAGTTTTCCAAACCTTCTCATTCTGAGAATATTGTTCCTAAGTAGTCTAGAACTTTGTATTTGACATGAGTTCTTGGGCAGTGCTGCAAATAACCAGTGTTTCCTTTATCCCCTGGAAGAATGCTCTATAAATTGAAGGATGTTAAGCAATCCTTAAGTTAAAGGCTAGGAAAATATTGTAGTAATAATGATACTTCAATAATGAATTACAGTTGTCAGAGTCTCTTCATAGATCTTATCACATTATCCATTCTACCACCTGTGAGAGAGACCAATCAGCTATTATCCCATTTTTCAGGAGAAGAAAGTCAGCTCAAAGAGGTTAAGTGTGGGCTGAGACAAACAACTAAAGGAAGGTTAGGATGACCATAAAACTCACATCTCCCCCTCTGTTATTATGTGGTCAGTGTTAGGGTGAGTTCAGCTAGAACACCTGCCCAGGCCCTGAAGGAGACATCAGAGAGGTAGAGGAGGCTGCAGGGCCTAATGGGTGGGTCCTGACATCGCAACAGGAAATGTGACCATAAAATAAGGTGACTGCTTGATGAACATGTGAGAAGTTCTCTATCCACTGAGTACTGTGCCCTTCGGAGTGCTGGCTCACACTCATTCGCCTAGAACATTTTTGGAAATGCCTTTCAAAGCTTCCACATGCATTTAGCATCTTCATACATACATCATACCATCTTCCTCTTTTCTGGAACAGATGTGAGTTTTGGCAGTGGTCAAGTTACAATTGGTACCACTGACGTGTAAGCTCCAGTGGACTCCATAGTTTGTGAGGGCTGAGACTGGGGATGTCTATTTTATCCCTAAATCTCTCACATCTAACACAAGTACTCAGTTGATGTTTTTTGAATGAACAGTTAAGTCTGGGGAGAACACAAGCTGGGTTATTCCAAGCCAGTGTGTTCAAAACCACAGAGTAAGGAGATTGGTTGTCCTGTGTGCTCATCCAGAAGGACCTGTCAAAAGCCAAATCCCCAAAAGAGTATGGAGCAGTGGTGGCTTCACCAGAAGACTGAATAAGGAACCGTGTGAATAAGGAACCCCATTTGTAGGTGTACTGGAGTACTGCCTATTGCATTAAAAATATTAGCCATGCGATGTAGTAATTTTAAGATTGGCCAATATTTTTTGATGCTTTCTTGGTGCTTGGCACTACTCTAAGCATTTTTCAGATTTTTACCTCACCTGATTTTTACCAGCAACCGCATGGAGTAAATGGTGCCATCATTCCTGGTTTATGGATGAGGACATAGGCACAGCAAAGTTGAGCCACCTGGCTGATACCTATAGACAATAGGTTGCTGAGGTGGCATTTGAACTCATGCAGCCACATGCCAGAACCTGTCCTTTTAACTACTCTGTCCCACCACTTCTTAATACTTTCACTTTGTATCCAATCGTACGTCAGCATAATACATACTTTTATGAGATCATTAAATCCAGAGATATGCTGAAACCAAAATTATTTCTTTTTTTTTTTAAAGATTTTACTTATTTATTCATGAGAGACCCAGAGACATAAGCAGAGGGAAAAGTAGGCTCCCTGCAGAGAGCCCGATGCAGGATTCAATTCAGGATCCCGGGGTCACGCCCTGAGCCGAAGACAGATGCTCAACCGCTGAGCCACCCAGGTGTCCCAAACCAAAATCATTTCTGATCACAAGACCCTGTGTTATTTTCTATGCATATAGCACCTCTTGAGCTCCACTGGAAATTCATAGGCCAAGATAAGGAGAATGGAAGTGACTTTGCTTGAGGACTTCTCCTTAACTGGTGGTAACTTAGAAGGAGTGAGCCTAGCAGAAGACTGGAAAGATGAAGCCCTCAGGTCAGAGGACAAAGGCCACCTGTGTCTGTCTTACAGGGCTTCTATAAAAGGACCCCAGACTACGTTCAGATTAGAGAATGGAAGAGGCTGGGCTGCTTTCCTGTCCCCATGGTTCACTCCACCTTCCTGATTGACCTCAGGAAGGAAGCGTCTGACAAGCTGATGTTCTATCCGCCACACCAGGACTATACCTGGACCTTTGATGACATCATCGTCTTTGCCTTCTCTAGCAGGCAAGCAGGTACTGTTTGCGTTTGGTTGTACTGTCACCATGGAAACACTGCCAATAACCAGCTCCTTTGTTTTGTGCATCTTCTCATAAAACAGTCCTATAGAACGCTTTTTTCCCCCCAGGTAGTATTAGAGACCATTGTTTGCAATAACCACTCCAGCACCCTCCTTGTTGCTGTCCCTGTGAGCACCAATGACCAAGAACCACTCTCTCTGGACATCTACTCTCTCTGGAAATCCACTTTCTTTTGTTTTTGAGTGCTGGGGAGACAGTGCTGGTGACGGCAGCCATGAGCAGGTGATAGGTTCTCTGCAGTGCCACTGCATCATTTTGTTCAGTATAGGGATTTGTTTCATTAGGAGCCTCTGACAGAGGCCCAAAACAACACTGGCAAAGACCTCAAACTTTAAAAATAGAAGTTTATCTCTTAAACAAGTCTGAGCTGATATAGTGGCTCCGTTCCTCATAGTGTTCAGAGACTCGGGCTCCTCTGTTACTTCTCCGTCCTCCGTGAGTATCATCCTTAATCACATTGTCCAAGCAATCTCATTGGAATGGATACATTCTAGCCATTGAGTAAAGGCTGGAGAGGGAAGGGAGTCCTCCATTTAAGGAGTTGAACATACCATGTCCATGCATATCCTCTTAGCCAGAACTTAGGTACAGGTCAACGCGTAGCTGTAAGCGGGGCTCAGCTCAGCATGTGCTCTTTATTCTAAGCAGTCTAAAGCCCAGATTTCTTACTCTAAAGGAGGAGGGGACAGATTTATGGAGGCAACCAGCAGTCTGCCACAGTCCCCATGAAAGGAAAGGTAGAGCCGATGATCTTTCAAGAACTACTGGGAAGCATTTCCAGTGGGTCCCGCAGGTTTTTGAACAAGACAAGTCCGTAGGAGGGCGAGTGACTTCTCTTGTGACACCCTGCACATGAAGCCAGGGAGGATTTAATTCACTGTGGCAATTCAACAGGAAGGTACAGGACATTCCTAAAGCAAAGCTGTATTCTCAGGGTCATTCAGACCTTCCTGAGAGAAGTCAGGTCCCCTTATCATTGAGTCAGAAATGTGCCACTTAAACACTAGCAAAAGTGAGCTTAGGAACCAGGCAGATGGCGAATAGACTCATATGGCCATATAACTTATGGTGGATGAGATCAGGACCCCAGGCAGTTGAGGCAAGTGAGAATGTTAATACGAATTCAAGCCAAAACTCACCCATCAGGCATCTTTAAAGCTATAGGTGTTCCCACTTATTAGTTGTAGACTTGGTAGGAATGAGAATATCTGGTGGAAATGTAGAAAACTGATTATTTCCACTTGGCTGCTAGAGCTGTATGGACCCTTTGACCAGGTGTAGGCATTCTTTTAGCCCCATGTCAGGGCAGAAACAGGGTTCTTATCCTCATCTGGATTGAAAGTTTCTATGAAGGTTCTTGGGTCGATGTTAATGGAAACTGCCTCTTTTCAATTGGTCCATGATTTGCTCTGACTTCTCCAGGATGGGAACCAGACTCAGGGCCTTGGCATTCCTTTGAGTTGTGCCAGTCCCTTTGCTTCAGAGGTTGCAGTAAGGATGTTTCAAGAGAGTGAACTATTCACAATTACAGCAATGGTCCCTTGCCTAACAAAGTCCTCTTTGATAGTCATTACATAAGGTGGTATTGTGATCCATGCACTAAATTATTAGGATATATTTTTTTAAACCAAGAACTGGATTTGGGGCTGGAAGAGTGACACGGGCTGGATAGGATTTTTTCCAGCTCTGTCCTTTGCTTGGCCTGTTCACTCAGACTTCATTTTTTGTGGGTCAGACTCCCATAGGCCTTCCCAGGACATTGAAAACAGGTGGAAAGGCCCAAAGCTGTTTTGTTTTGTTTTGTTTTTAAGAAAATAAAGGAGAGGGAACCAACACTCTAGGCCTTGCCTTCATGCCTGGCATCATGTTAGGCTCCGTGTTACTTGGGGAGACAAGATCTTCACATGTAGAAATAGTAGTAGTTGTGAAAAAAGGAAATCCAAGGATCACATTGGGGGTATAAACTATGAACATGTTAGGAGTCAGGCAGGAAAGAATGACTGTCATTTGGGGGAGTGAAAGAGCTTTCCTGACAGTCCTCTGGAGATCCAAAACAAAGCACTTCGCTTCTCCCTTACAAGAGTCTTGATGAAAGATGATTTGTGTTCTCTTGTTCTCACTCTGTGAAGCTCTCCCTAGCTGTGTTTCATCCATTGAAGCATCATTTGTTAAAAATCCAAAAGGCAATAAAGGGTAGATGTGTACTTGGCAGGACCATCTAACCACAGACCTTGATCCTTAACCTTCCACTTCTGACTCCAATCATTGCCACATGGAGGCTGATGAATGAGAGAAGAAGCAATCCAAGTGTGCTGGTTCGCTGGGGAGTGGCTGCTGATCTAGCCCCAGAGGAGAGAGCATGGGGGTCATAGACGAGTCTCTGTGGCTACAGTGAAGCCAAGGTCAGGAGTTCACTTGCCACTGTGGCCAGGGATGTGGGCTTTGTACCATGGCCACAGGAGCCATCTCTGGCGCCAACTCATCATCTTCTGAATGTCTGCTGTCAAAAAAGGCAAGAGATGTGGGTGACGGGCAGGGAGATCTGCCTCCTGCACATCACTGGTGATAATCAGAAGTGCTGCCCATGTGCAAGGATGGCAACTCAGAGTTATTACTGGTTCCGAGGCTTGGCTTTAGAACCCTGGGCAGATAGAAAGATACTTGGCATTGGCTCTTTAGGGACAAAAGTTTCATGCTAAATGACTTACTGTATGAGCTTGGAGAAATCATAGCCCCTCTGAATCTGATGTGTCATCATCAAGGATAAAAATAAGCATATCAATCCGCAGCATTAAGGTACTATGTAAGTACAAGAAAATGTTTGACATTTTCACAAGTTCAGAGCTTCGATAAAGAGTTTCATTTACCGTTCTTTTTCAAAGGTGAAGAAAATTGTTTTCTCCAGAAGTAACTTTTACCGAGAGTACCAGATTCCTTTATAGGCCTTAATTATCAACACATTTCCTTTTAAAATTGTTATATTTTATCAAACTATCCATGCACATAGTTGAAAAAGCTCAAAAGGTCCTCCAGGGTTTATTATAAAATTAGAAGTCCCCTGCACATCACCCCCCTGTACCATCATGTCCCTCTTCTAGAAGACAGATAACTTTTAACTCTAACAGATGATGAGAGAATTATAATATTATATCCATGTTTCTAACTAATATGCTCATATTGCTACTTCTTGATTCTCTGGATTTACTTTAGACATCATCTATTGGCTGTCCACTATAGAATTCGAGGATTTAGCTCTCTGTCTTCTCTGTGCCCACTCAGGACAAACACATTTTTCCCAACTCCCAGTACTCTTGATAGAATCACATGGTAATTTAAGATAGGTCAGTGGCCAGTGTTTTTTGTTGTTAGAGTTATGCAAACCTAATTCCAAGCTGAGCCACTTTTCGACTATGGTTAGTCTTCTTTCCATATTCAACATAAAAATGGACTTTTTCTTTTGCTTAGTTTTACTATTCCTAATGCAGTCTAAAACCAAGCCCTGATTGTCTAAAACCCCTGTTAGAATGGTCAGATTTGTCAGATGTTCTTGTTGCATATTTGTAAAGATGTCTCTCCTAGAGCCTTTTTTTCCCCCAAGATTTTATTTATTTATTCAGGAGAAACACACAGAGAGAGAGGCAGAGACACAGGCAGAGGGAGAAGCAGGCTCCATACAGGGAGCCCAATGTGGGACTCCATCCCAGGACCCCGGGATCATACCCTGAGCCAAAGGAAGACACCCAACCACTGAGCCACCCAGGCGCCCCTCTCCTTGAGCCTTCTGATGTACTCTTATCTGAGTGGTGCCAGTCCTATCTACCCCAACCTAGGATGCCCCTTCTTGTCCTCTCTGTGTTGATGCTCCTGTCAATTATGTCTTACTTCCTCCGTGTTTTCCATGATCCGCCTCCTCCCTTCTTCCTCCCCCTTCTCCTTCCACATCAGCTAGTCACTTTTGAGAAAGTGCTAGGGTAAAGTAAATACTTACAACCTTGCTTGTGTGAAAACGCTTTCTTGTCGCTTCACGTTTGATGGACAGCTTGGCTAGGTCTCATCTCCTCTTTTTACTGAAGCTTTGGAAAGCTGAGTAGTAAAAGGATCTACCTCATTAGGACCGAGAGGCAAGCTAAACATGAAATTGTTTCCCTTTCATTTCCTGATCTCATCATGATTTTGTAAGGGGGCACATTTTGGTTTGAAGCTCCTCGGAAGCATTCGTGTGGACAAACAGTAGATGTTTTGAGTTCACTTGGTAAAGCAAGAGAAGTGACGGCACTTGCTGGACCATAGGCAGATTCAGTAAAGGGGAGGCTGAAGGCCCTTTTCTTTCCCCATTCTTCTTTGTTAATGCCATGAGACAGCTTCACCTGATTTGGCAGGTGACATAGCTACCTGGAGGAAATTTCATCTGTACAGCATAGAGAAGTCACTATGCAGGTAATTCTGTCTCTGGAAAGCAGAGATAATTATTGCAATTAACAAGTCAGAAGCTTGGACCCACGGACCAGAGCTTGGCAGGCTCATCCTTGTAACTAAGCAATCTTTTCAGTAGTTGGGACTGTCAGTGGTTGGATCGCTATGAGTCCCTCTTGATTCCTATATTCCTGGCTATCTGGTTAAACAGAGATGCTGCACAGCTCTTGGAGTTAGCCATATGGGGCCTGGAAGCCAGTGTTGAATACAAGAGGGCTGGGGCATTTTTCTGATATGGTCACACTGCAGGTTCTTACCAGGACTTGAAATGTAGACTCTTTTGTCCTCTTATGAATCTGTTACACAAGTTTCGTGTCTGCTGGTTGACTCCAAATCCGTGCCTGCTACGAGAAGAGATAAAACCATGAAGAGCCATGGAGAATTCTAAATTTCTTTTGTTTTGTTTTTTTTTTTTTTTTTTTTTTTGTTCTCCATATGCCTAGATTTAGCTTTAATCATCTCTCAGCCTCACAGGATTTTCCTGTTTGCTTTCATATCAAATGTGGATTTTATTCCTCATTTTCTTGTTATTTCCTGTAGGCAGATTACAGTGTTCCATTCTGTGCTCTGGAATGGGAATTCCTTGCCTGTCCTTGATCCCTTCGTGCCTTTAGTGTTCCTTTCAGACCACGAGTATGCTTTTTTTTTCAGAAGGAAAAAAAATCAATTTCCTCTGAGCTGAAGAATGGCCCATGGTTTTTATTAGCCTCCAATGCTGTGTTAAATTTTCTTAATAAAGAGCATTTTTGAGGTCTACAGACAGTGTCTGAAACAACTACTGTTCAGTTTCAGGGCCAGACTCAGTTTCGGCCACAGTCCAAGCTTTTTTCCCCTTACTTGTCTCTCGAGAACTAAGAACTGTGTTTTCTGATTGATTGCTTTTATCTCTCTCTTGGGTTCTCAGGCATCCAGATGTACCTCTGCAACAGAGAACACTATGGCTACCTGCCCATCCCCCTGAAGCCCCATCAGACCCTGCAGGAGGACATCGAGAACTTCATCCATGTGCAGATAGAAGCAATGAGTAAGTGACCTTGGAGACTGGGTGATGATGGCTCTTGTTCTATTGCCACCGTGACCATACCAGCTACTTTCCCCCCTCCCACGACTGAGATCTCACAGCCATCAGGCTGCCGTGGCTGAAACATAGCCATTCATTTGTTCATTCACCCTTAAACTTTTCCTATGTGACAAATGAATATGACAAGCTCCTTAAGGAGCTTCTGACGCAGGTGGCGAGCTGGGCACACAGGAAAGACATCTCACATGATGTCCTAAAGGCTCTGATGGTGATTTGCGGTGTGGATTTAAGCTCTAAACTTTCACTGCTTTCTAATTATATGACTTTGGAAAAGTAATCTAACTTCCTTCGCTGTGAAATGGACATAAAACCTTAGAGTTTGGGAGCAAATTCTCTATGATATATGTAAAACGTCCAATAACAATAATTTAATAATAGCTTATCATGTAACAGATACTAGGCTTAACGTTTTTTTTTTTTGTCCATGGTCTCATTAGTCCTTACAACAATCAATGAAAGGGTTTTTGTTATCTCCATATTACAGATGAAGAAATTGAGGTATAAAACATGTTGTAACTTGCCCTAAATCGTTTTGTTAAAGAAATGACAGATTTGGATTTGAACCAGTCTTGCTATCTGCAAAGCTCATGTCCTTAAACGCTGCATCATTATTGCCTCTGGGTCTAGCATGGTGTCAGAACCAATAAATGTTCAACGATCAGTTGCTGTACTAATTATGATGTATAATGTGCAGTGGTGGGTAAAGGAAGAGGTAATGGATAAGCCCTGCCCAGGGGAGGATGTTGGAAATGACTTCCCAGAGGAGGGAATGTTTGCAGTTCATTTTCACACAGCATCTGAGGAATTCTGTTGTTCATCACGGGAGTGTAGGATGTGTGTGTGTGGGCAGTGAGGATGGTTGGGGAGGCAGAGCAGGAAGTGAGACTGGAAAGTGGGCAGGAGCCCAGCCAGAAGAACCTCTAATGTATAAGAAGGTGTTTGGACTTTTCCTGAAATGAGGGGACCTCTTAAAGAGATTTGTAGCAGAGGAATATCTGATTGAAATCTGGATATAGAAAGGTCACTCTCTTGGTAAGAGAAGTATGGCTGGAGCAGGGTGGGACAGTGGATGGCTGGTCTCAGGCCAGAGGTGAAGAGATAATTTTGGACATTACATGGTAAAAGAGGCAAAAGATGGGGAGGATCTGAGCTAGGGCAGGCCTGGGGGAGTGGAGAGAAAGGAAGAGATTAAGAGAAACTTGTGACACAGACTTGAAGGGACTCAGCCAAGAGTCTGTGGCTTAGCAAAAGGGAAGCAGAGAAAAACTTCTAAGTTCCATCTTGAGTGCTTTGGGATAGCTGTAGGAGTTTTAAATGGTGTAGAGCACTTAGAATAAAGGAGACATTTACAAAGAAAAATCATGAGTTCATTTTTAGGCCCATTGAGTGGCCTGTGAATATCTATTTCCTGCTGCCCATCTTCAGAGAATAAATGCCTTGTTCATCCTATTTGTCTTGCCTTGTTCATCCTATTTGTCTTGAGATGTAGTCCTTTGCCGGTCACCTAGGAGGCTCCCAGTAAATATTTGTTGAATAATTGAGTGAATAAATGAAAGACTGAGTTTAGGTTGAAATGTCCAGTGAGTAAATGGAGAGATGAATCTATCAAGCCTAATGACGTTCATCTGAGATTCATCAACGAGATATTGTGATATCACAGCATTTCAATAAACCACGAGTGTGAGATGTGGAAGGGCATTCAGGTAAGATAAAGACTGACAAGAAGCTCAATGGGTTTTTTTCAGCTAATGCCCATAACAAGGATGGTTTCAGAAAAGGTTGAATCAGAATTCAAAGTGTTTGAGAAGTGACTAAGAAGCAAGGAAATAGAGAAAAAGCAGATTTTCTTTTTTTAAGAGCTATGGTTGGGACCCGAAGGTAAAAAAGACAATAATAATTTAAAAGATTAATCAGAAGATCCCTTTAAATAGCAGGCTCGCCTACTGAATTTACATAAACTTCTGTTTGCAAAATATCAGTCAGCTCAATATACCAGAAGCACAGCAGTGGTGCTGAGCAAAGTATATCCATAGACTATACTTGGAATGAGGAGAGAAGCACTCCCACCATCACAACCTTTGCATGCTGATGTGCATGTGAGTTTGTAAGCCATTCAGTCCTTAGTCATCTCAGTGTCCCTGGGTTTGAAAAAGGCAACAAGAGACACTATTGTTCTCTAAGTATATAGAGAATAATAGGGATGATGAACAAAAAAATCCAGCATTTGTTGGGTATAGTCTTTTAGCAACCATTTCTTGAAAGAAGATAAATTGTTGGGGTGGGGGATGGATGGTGGAGAATAAGAATTGAATAGGGAGCTGGTTCATTCTGACAGTATTTCTTAAACCAGCTCTTAGGAATTTCTTTTGTGATTTTCTTTAATACACACTGTTTCTGCCTGTTGTCTATGTTCTAGACAAGAGTGGCATCTTACTGCCTTTTATCCCAAGCACCTAGCACAGTGCATGACATACAGTTGGTTCCAAACAAATATTTGCTGAATGTATGACCAAACAAGTAAAAGAATGAATAAGGGAATGCACGAAAATTATACTGCAAAGAGCATTGAATCTGAATCCAGAATAATGAATTTCAACTCAGGTTGTTGCTTATGAAGGGAGAGTTCACCTCTCCGAGCTTTAGTTCCTATATCTATAGAGTGAGGATAATAGCATTTACTTTGCAGGGGTAGAAGAGGCAAATGAAATGATGTACATCAACTCCATAAAATATTGAAGCATTGCTGTTATTATTAGGACTCACTTTGACTCTTGGTAATGTGCTACCCCTTACCGCCCCTGTTTCCTGGCCATCAGACTTGACTCCAAGTAGAGGTCGACTCAGAGATGGCCAGTAAGAGCCTTGCCTTCTCTTGTTGTCCCCATAGAACTGAGAGCACAGAAGCTTCTCTGTATGTAGAAACACACACATTGTCAATAAAGTTTTTAATTATTATAAATTACAAATACACATAACACCATGCTACACAAGTAGAATTCATCTGAGAAGAATCTGTAATTGGTAGCTGTCATTATTGATCTCCCAATGCAGACCAACTCTAATGCTAGACACTTTATATATGGTGTTTTATTTAATTCTTCTATTTATCTTCTTTAGCTATAATTTTGTTAAAATTTCAGATTCTGAATTTTAAAAGGTAGAACATAATTGAAGTAAGAAAAATAATTAAACAAATAAACGTTTGAGGGTAGTAACACAGAAATATAGACTGGAGGCCCCTGAAGGATTAAGAAAAGGATTAATAATGAAATCATATCTGTCAAGTGTCCTCAGGAAAGATGAGCCAGATGTTGAAAGCATCTGGCACAGCATCTGGAACCCAATGGGCAGTAAAGAAATGGTTGCTAAAAGACTATACCAATTGAAGCATTAGAACAAGAATTATATTTATGTACAAACATTGAATGTCTTTTTACAATCAACGAGTCACTCTATCAAGGTACTGAATATTCAGGGGAATATAAGGGAAGGGAGAAGAAATGTGTGGGAGATATCAGAAAGGGACACAGAACATAAAGACTTCTAACTCTGGGAAATGAACTAGGGGTGGTGGAAGGGGAGGAGGGCGGGGGGTGGGGGTGAATGGGTGACGGGCACGGAGGGGGACACCTGACGGGATGAGCACTGGGTGTTATTCTGTATGTTGGTAAATTGAACACCAATAAAAATTAATTTATAAAAAAAAAAGGTACTGAATATTCAACACATTTTAACCAATTCTCTGTTTGGGATATATATATTTAACTGGAAACATAGGGCAAACACAAAAAAGGTCCTGATGATGCAGTATAGTGCCTTGTAAGAGGAGCAGATATAAAAGCAGTTGGAATTTGGAATAGGAAGAAATTGCTGTAAGCAGGTGTATTCTAGGAGAGATTCAAGTCCTGGTGTTTCTCAAGCTGCACTTTGCTAGTGTGAAGTTTAAACAGAAGGAGTGATACAGTGAGGACACTATAGGCAGAGGAAGAAGACCCAGCAAAAATATCATTCAAAATGCATTCTCACTCTGGAAGAGAGTTGGCTTTGAATAGTAGAAGAAAATAAAATTTGAGGGTTGGGGTGGCTTAATTGTTGTGGCCCTTGAATTTCCCAGCTAAGACAGAATGCCCATCCTAAAAGCAGTAAGGAGGCAAAGAAGTTTTTAGAAGAGAGAGTCAGGCTGTAAGTACTTATTAAACACTTACTGTATTCCATGGATTGTTCAAGATGCTGGAGATACAGCAGTGAGCAAAACCAGCAGAAGCTCCACCATCAATGAATTTATTTTTTAAAAAGATTCTATTTATTAATTCATGAGAGACACACAGAGAGAAAGAGGCAGAGAGAGTAGCAGGCTCCATGCAGGGAGCCTGATGTGAGACTCCATCTCTGGACTCTGGGATCACTCCTTGAGCCAAAGGCAAGACGCTCAATTGCTGAGCCACCCAGGAATCCCAATGAATTTATATTTCAACACAGAGAGATAGACAATATATCAGTGGAGCAGCCACATGGATGTTTGGGTAAAAAGTGTTCCAAGCAGAAAGAACTAGAGGGGCATCTGGGTGGCTCAGTTGGTTAAGCGTCCAATTGTTGATCTCAGCTCAGGTCTTGATCTCAAGGTCATGAGATCCCACACTGGGCATGGAGCCTACTTAAAAACAACAATAACAAACAAACAAACTACAGAGACCGTTAGGAGAGCTTGTTGGCAGAGCCAACAGGACTTACAGAGACCTGGATGCACCTAATGAAGGAGGGGAAGGACTCCAGATGACACCAGGACTTTGGCCTGGCATACCACTTAATAAAATGGGAAAAGATTTGAGGAGGGAAAGTTTAGTCATGTAAGCTTATGATATTTTTTTAAACATCCCAGTGGAGAAGTTAGGAGATATTTGGTTGTGAGTCTGGAGTTTAGGGAAGATACTCCAGCTGGAGAC